TTTTATATATTTTAGTCCATTTACATATTGGGGTTAATTGTCCAGTTACAGCTTCAGGTTATGAAGTCCCATCCTCCCAGATTGCTCACCTCAATTTGCTGTTGTTTAGAATTTTGGGGCCCAAAGTTGCAACGGTGTCTTTGGTTCTTAGGCAGGAAAAGGATTGTTTTGTTAACTACACTGTGAAGAGAACTTGCTAACACTTTATTTGGAGTTCAGAGTTATATACTAATGCAGTACAGAATCTGGAAAATAAGAAAGTTAAAACTTAAGGTATCACCACCATCCATGTCCCATTTGGTCCTGTCATGTTTTTATAGTCAAAGTACCTCCCTGAGCACAGGTATCCCCATTTTGCACATTATGGAGCCTTGACTTTCCCAAAGTCACCTGGGGAAGCTGATAAAGCATCTTCCTTGTCCAGTCCCTAACTGGGGGTCAGAGCCCATATGCTATGGGATGGCAGATTTTGATAAAAAATGTGGCTCAGGGGTATAATGTAAACTTCAGCACAGCAGAACCAGATTGCACAACCTCCTCCAGGTAACAGCTTCTCCAGTATCCCACCAGGGAAGTCAGGACTGCACAATTCCTTTTGGCTCTGCCTTTATGAGTGGGTCCTGCACTTTGGCCTACAAGACCCAAACCACAGCAGAGTGTCCTTGCCCTGGTTGTGAAACACCTTGCTCTGAGGAAAGAGCGTTGCACCCAGGTGTGGGGAAAGAGCCGATGTGTTGGCAGCTCCTTGCCCTGCAAAATCACCAGAGGTAGAAGTCTGTATGTGCACATTTACAGATGAGAGGAGATAATCCATGTGGAAGTCCCGCCTCACATCAGCTGAGATACTGGCAGTTTAGATCAGATTTAGAAAGTGGGGGAAAGAGACACTTTTGCTGTAACAAAGGTGCAGCTTTCTACAGTTTAATTTCTTTACAGTCATACATTTCTGTCTTATATCTCCTTGACATGAGGCTCAAAAAATAATAGCGTGTTTGCCTGTGCAGCTGCAGACATTCTGCAAACTTCCTTAGCCTCCTTCCTGGTGTAGATTCTGAGCCTGACTAAGGTGTGGATCTGCCTCTTAGAAGGCAGAACTGAAATACTTTGATTTCTGGCCAGAACCTTGCAGTTTTTACCTGGAATCTCCCTGTTTTCTCTGTGAATGTTCACAGTTCTTTACATGAAAGGGCAGGGGACACGTAACTTCAACAACCTCCAGTGATAAACTACTATAATTTTTCTCACCCAATGTCACACACACTTCTCATTGGGAGGGGCTCTGTAAAGGGTAGAAAATGGCATTGCAAAATCCCAGATATCCTAGTCACTGCCTTTCTGGACCTGCCTGGTGTTGTCTGGGTCACTTACATGTCTCAAAGCTTTTGTTTGTGTGCAGTTTTCAGACAGCTTGTTAGCAGAGACAGGACTGGGAGATATGGGGACATTTTTGTGCTGATCAGGGTGATGAGATGCTTTTTTGTTAAATTTGGTGCTTTTTGGACCTTGACGAAAGTTGGGACGCTTTCTTGTGTGCCCTTTTCTGAATGTCTCACTGGGGATAGGAGGGATCCTGCTGAAAAGAAGGTGATAAAATCCCAGGATGGGATTTTTTTGGGAGAAGATGGGTGAACAAGAAGAACCTCCTTCCCACCCCGATGAGCTTCTGCATCAGCTTTGTATCCAGCCCTCCTGCCGCGGGACACCGCCCGTGCTTCTTTTTTTTTCAGCTCCAAAACTTCGGAGATGTGTTTCCTGGTTTCTGTTGGGATGTCTGGGTGGAGGGTGGAGAGACCGGTGGGAGAGTGGAAAAGCCTGGATGGGATCAGGGAAAGAGATGTGCATCTCCTCCACGATGCCAGGACACAAGGCACTGCCGCCATCTAGTGATCCGGGATTCACCGGGGGCTCCGCAGCGCTCCTGGGGAGGCTCTGCTGGGGAAATGGGCCGGAGACCCCCACCCAACCTGCCTCTTGTGCTCCGGACATGTAGAGGGGCCCACTTTGCTGGAAAGAATGAAAAAGCTTCTCAGCAAACACGAAGTTGAGAGTTTTGCTGTGCTTGTCTTTGAGTGCCGCAACACTCAGGGCTGAGATGTGAAATTTTAGGGGGTTTTGTGCAGGAAAAAAATTGAATTTTTTGCTGTTATACATGTCTTTCTTCTTCCTCAGTCCTCATCAAGCTTTGAGATGCCTTTGGAAGGTGGAGAGGCTGAGGAAATTTCCACCTGGAGGGATGAAAAATTATACATTAAAAAAAAAAAAATGGTTAAGTTTGATCCAGCCTTGGGGTTAGCAAATACAGGTGATTCCTGACATATGAGTTCAGAGACCACGAACTGCTCAGGAATGGGCAAGGTCCAAAGCGGAATTGCAGATCCCAGCAGGAGTATGAAGGCACTGAGTAAGACCAGGTTAATTAGAGGCTATTACATTTTCTAGGTCTTCATCTGTTGCTGCAGTGGATGAGTCCTGACAGGCAGCATGGCCACACTCCTCCCCTCCTTTTCTTAAAAATTCAAAATAATATTAAAGAATCATAGAATGAATCACAGAATCACAGAATGGTTTGGGGTGGAAGGGACCTGAAAGATCAACTGGTTCCAACACCCCTGCCATGGCCAGGGACACCTTCTATTAGCCCAGGTTGCTCAGAGCTCCACCCAAAATGAAATGACACTCTAAACTTGAGTGCATGGAAATCGTAGGGCTGAGCATGGGAAAACATCTCCAACTAAATGGCACTGCCATCCTTGTTTGTGTCCCAGGCTGTGTCCTGTGCTCACCTGTGTCTGCCACATCAGCAGTCCCTGCACCCCAGCATTAAACACTGACCTTGTTAATGAGGGTTTTCACTGCTGATAGACCCAGGGCAGAGCTGTGGCAACAGCCTCTTTGCAGATGCTGAGCAGCAGGTATCCTAGTATAATCCATTTTTTTTTTTTTGCAGGGCTCCTGCATCCCAGAGGGATGTAATGCTGAAGGAATCTTCAATCTCATTGTAAGCTCTTCAGTTGGAAAAAAAAAATTGGGTGCATTAATGAAGTCATTTCACACAGCTAAAACACACATTAAATAATTAGACATATGGTAAATGAATGCCCAGAGGCATAAGATCCCATGCTGGTGGGAATAGGTGAGGTCTCATTGAAGTGTGCTGGGTGACTCTTGCAAAGATATACATTGGTGATATTAAATACTTGCATCGGTAATGAAAACTATCAGCTTGTGCAGTTCTTCCTATGGATTTGATCCTGTCCTTGTTCTAGCTTGAATTCAAGTTGAGCTCAAAGTGTGCTCTGCCTCTGCATGGGCAAGGAAGGAAAATCCTGAATTCACCTTGGCATAGCAGCATGGGAAAGGGGAGAGGTTAGAATAGAGGAGGCAAATCACATATCCTGAAGCTTTTGCTGTTTTCTTTATTTCTAATATTGCACTGTTTTGTCCAGAGATCCCACTTGCAATTTTTTGTGTCAGCTACCACTGGAGCATGTTGAGGAGCTGAGACTCTGTTTTGGAGATATCAGCCACTCCCCTCAGCATCCAAGTAAACCTGGGAGCTTCCACTCACTCCAGGGATGGTGATGGGAAGGTTTCACCATAGATTTAAACCTGACCAATCCCTGAAAAACAAGGTCCAGCCTTGCTGTTTTATCCAGAACATTCTGAAAACACCTGGATCCACATCTGGAATGGGGACATACCTCCATTACAAGGTGAGCACCCCACTGCATGCCAGTGTGCCAAGAGGATCTGGTGACTACAGGTACAGGGATGACTGTGGGGCCGCAGCAGGTTTGGGTGGCTCAGGCTTCATCTTTGCAATGTCATGAGTAATACTGAGTACAGAGATGGTGGGGAGATGTAGGCTGGTTGGTAATACAATTTATATAATTAAAGATAAGTAGCTCTCTTCCTAGCTGATTTCCTAGAGGTGTGCTATGCTCTGACCCACTGTTTGAGCTCAGATTTATTATTAAAAAGCTTCTGTTTGCTTTGTACTCTGCTACAGCTGCCCTGCTCAACCTTGAGCAACATCATCACAAGCAGCTCTGTCCAGAGCCTGAAATTTACCTACTGCCTGTACCTGAAGACCCTGGAGAAAAAGTCCTTTGGGATGTTTGGTGTAGAAAAGTCATTTTCCACACCAGTGCCTAATGACTGGACCACTCTCTACCAGACATTTTTCTCATTGCTCCAGTTAGAACCATAAGAATAATGAGAGAGAAGAAATGTGTTTAGGGTCAGACTCCAGTGCTTTGGCAGATGGGATGTCTCTTGCTGCAGACATGGGCTCTGTGGCTCATAGCAGGTTGTTATCAGCCATCATTTGTACCTCTGCTCCAGCCTGCATGGGCTGAAGTCCTTCTGCTTTCTCCAGTACTGAGCTGTATCCTGGGTTTGTTGAGCCACCGGTCCTGTGCTGACCTTGCCCTTCAAAAAAAATTTATTATATTAAAATAAGAAGCAACAAAGGGATGCACAGCTCTTCCCTGTGAAGAACTGGATTTTTTTGCACAACCCCTCGCATGTCTCCTCTCTCTCCTGTGCCTCACTTTCTCCGTTGATGTACCAGGGCTGTTGAGAGGCTGAACAGAGCTGAGTTCCACACTAACTGTGCTTGCAAGGGACTTCTGTGGTTTCCTGACCCTTCTTTAAGCAGCTTCAATCTCAAATTCGAATCCAAACTCAAGGTTTAACCAGGTGTCTCCGTGTTTCCCCAGTCAAAGTTCGAATGTCTCCAGGATTATACAAGAGGCCACAAGGTCTCCATGCCCTGTGCCTGATCACTTTCAGGTTAAAAGCTCTCTCCTAATATTTAACCAGATTTCCCCCTAGCTGCAGCTCGCACCTGCTGCTCCTTGTCCCGACTCCTGGCACCAGCAGAAGCAGCTGAGCTCCGTCTCTCCCACATATTCTCATTCCCAGGCTTGCTGCAGGCCCCAGGGACACCGGCGGGTGGCACTGGGGACAAGTTTTCCGTGAGCACCAGTGCAAAGGGTGGCCGGGCTGGAAGCGGTGGCCGCAGCTTGTCTGGCCGCCTCGCCGCGGTGCTGAGGCGCGCTGAGGGGCCAGCGAAGGGCCTGAGGTGGGCACAGCCGAGGGCTTCTCAGGGCGGGGGGGACACAAGGGCTCGGCGGCCGCTCGCTGGGATTCGCGCCGATCCGGAGGGTTTAGCTCAGCACTTCCTACACTGTGTCAAATCCTGTCCTTAGTTTAACCCCTTTGAACAAAATCAGCTAGCTCTAAAAACACAGCGATTTCTTACTTTTTTGTAATTTTTTTTTTTTTAATTTTTTTATTTAAAGCTCCGGCTTTTACAAACAGCCCGGAGAGGGACATGACGTGCTTCTGCAGCGACTTGTGCGCCGCCAGGGCTTTTCCTCAGGGGGGAAGCGCCTCCCTGGGCAGGGTGAAGGGAAAGCGGGACAAGGAGGCTCCAACCTTGGCACAAACCCCAGGCAGCCTTTCCACCTCCTGCAAAATGTCATGCACTGGCTCTGGCTGCTCCAGCTTCCTGCGGGAGGAGCTGGTTTGTTCCCTGGGGAGCTCTGTTTGCCCACAGGGGAAGTTTTGGAGGCAGTTGTTTTGGGATGAGGGCCTGTTCCTGGTGTGGGGGTGCTTTGGGCTGCTGGCAGTGATTGTGGTGCCTCCCCAGCAGCCATGGAGTATGTCAGCACACGGGGAGGCGTGAGGGCCGTGGACTTCGAGGGAGCCCTTTTCTCTGGCTATGCACCCGATGGGGGCCTCTTCATGCCCCAGCGCATCCCCTCGCTGGACAGGGACACTCTGCAAAGGTGGAGCAGCCTCTCCTACCCTGAGCTGGTGAAGGAGTTGTGCTCCCTCTTCGTCCCGGCCAAGCTGGTCCCGCGGGACGCGCTCAATGGTGAGCTGAGATGGGAGCTGCTCACAGGGATGTGCATGAGGATTTGGGGGGTTCGGATGCATCTGCCTGCCTTTCCCCCATCCTCTATATGGCCCCCAAGAGGAAGGAGCCTGCTGCAGCATTGCTTGCCCCTTTCTGTAGCCTGTTCTCTGTCACCTTGCTGGCACTAGTAGAAAAGGTGTCCCCTGTGTATAAATAGGGGTTCTGGTGACAGCAACAAGCTGATGTTGTGGCTCTGCTGGGGCCCCCTCCAGGGCTTTCTGCTGCTTCACGCTTGCCTTGACATCTGTTTTTTAATGTTTCTAACACTTATGAGCTATCTCTTCCACCAGAGGGCAGCTGCAACCTCTGTTTCAATGGCACTTTAGTATGAAACTCGGGTTTCCTGTATTGTATGTTTAAATACAGTTTTCTGATTGTGTGGCATGTCCCCTGGGATTACTTAGCACAGAGTTATCAAACACCATGAAGCTGGGCTGGTTCATTCCTAATAATCACAAATAACTTGTTGGATATCTATCACTGCACCAGCAACTGAGAGCCTTTGGTTGTGCAGAAAGGTAACCGAGAGCACAAAGAGCACAGATGAAGGGAGCCATGGGTCAGAGAAACACTACTCTAATTTAACAGGCCATTTAACCATTTTCCCTGTAGACCTGATCAACAGGGCCTTCAGCAGATTCAGACACAAGAATGTCGTGCATCTGTCCAGGCTGAAAGATGGGCTGAACATTTTGGAGCTCTGGCATGGTGTTACGTATGCATTTAAGGACCTGTCCTTGTCCTGCACAGGACAGTTTTTACAGTATTTTTTGGAGAAGAAGCAGAAGCATGTCAATATTCTGGTGGGTAAGTATGACTCCTTGGAGGTAAGGTTCTTGGGCAGGCCTTTACCTTGAGAGCCATCATGCTACAGTCCTCTCCAAAGATGTCCCAGGATGCTTTTGCCTCATAATCTCCAGACAGTGCCAAGGTGGCTGCTCTGGCCAAAAATGTCATGGAACATCTCTGCATCTTTTTCTTAAAGTGCACTGATGAAAATTTGATTGATGCATCAATTTTTTGCTTTTCTTGGTGCTTCCTCACTTTGAAACAGGGACTTCAGGGGACACGGGCAGCTCGGCCATTGAGAGTGTGAGAGGGCAGAAGAACGTGGACATCTTTGTTCTGCTGCCCAAGGGACTCTGCACCCAGATACAGGAACTTCAGATGACCACTGTCATTGAAGACAACGTCCATGTCTTTACTGGTTGGCACTGCTCTTTGGACTGTCCACTTTATGGCCCTGCTGTGTCAAAACCTTGACCCTAAAAGTCTGATGGGTCTGATCAGTAGGATTTGCAGCTTTAGCAGCTGCAGCCAGCCAGGGCATTGCTATCACCATGCCCATACATCTGGCTAACAAGAGACAACCTCCCCAGTTTGACAGCCAAGCAGTTTAAAGTTTACTTTGCTCCTGGCTGTAGATCAGAGTTGCCTCCATGCAGGTGGTTGGTGTTTGGCTGAACTAAATTCAGCACCGTTTTTTGTCATTCAAGGATTGGGAGCCACCCCTTCCCTCTGTCCTCTCACCTTCATGGGTGATCCACTCCCTACCACCATGCCATCCCCATGGCATTGGTATCACCACTGGGTGCTTGAGACCCTTGAGTTCCCATGGACTCCTCTGCTCAGCCAGGTCTCACCTTAGCATCTCATTAAGAGATGCAGCATTTGCCTTCCTGGCAAGTTTATATTTGGTAGAAACAAGAGCCCAGAGTGCTGTGTCTGCAGAAACCACCTGACATCCACAAGGTGCCACTCAAGCCCTGGTTCACGCAGCCCCCAGGGCAGATGGGCAACTTGGGACACTCCTGGCCACAGCAAACCCCAGGGCTTGAGACCAACCCTATTTCTGAGCAGAAATACCTCGTGCCTGATGCACTGCTGCTGGCAGATCTAATCTTTCCTTTCTCCTTTTGACAGCTCATGGGAACAGTGATGAAATAGATGAGCCAATCAAGGAACTGTTTGCTGATGTCAATTTTGCTGGAAAATACAACTTGATGAGCTTGAATTCCATCAATTGGTCCAGGATTATGGTGCAGATTGCTCACTACTTCTATGCTTACTTTCAGTGTGTCCCATCCCTGGATACCACCCCATTGCCAGTGGTGGAAATTGTTGTGCCCACGGGAGGAGGAGGAAATATCACAGGTAAAGGGAAAAAAGATGGGTTAGATAAGAAAGAGAGAATGCTGTGATCTGTGAACCAAAAGTACTTTGCAGATACTGGGTATTGCTATTTATTAAAACACCCACTCTCTGGTAGGATTTCTTCAGAACCACTTATATTTTATTACTCATGTATGGTTATTACTCAATTTAGGTGTCACAGATGATTTGCAAGGTACAGAAAAACCCAAACCACCCTTTGATGATGACTGTAACTATCATGAGGATGGGCACATTAGGAGAGGACAGAATGTGTTTGATGAAGAAAAGAGGGGAAAATGCTGTGGCTCTGATTTCTTAAGTGAGATATTAACAGAGCTGTGGAGTCCTGCCTGGTTTTCTCTGGTGTGCATGGTAATGAATGGTCAGGAGAACCACTCTTATTTGCATAATCTGGCCTTCTAAATGAGAGTCCTTGATTGTCTCAGTCCCAAAATAGGTGTAGAACTGTCTTCTGAAGGCAATAAAGGATTTTATATATTCACTGCTCTTCCAGGCTGCCCATCAGAGAGGCAAAAGCCCAAAATCTTCATCTCTCCTACTTGCCTGTCAGCTGCCTGAACTCTTGGTCCCTTGCCTATCCACCAGCAAACGTGGAGATCAGCAAGGGTGTGTGTTCATTGGCAGGTGAAGCATTGCATCCCTGGATTTTATAATCTGTCCTCTACCAAACCACTGAAGTCAGATATCTCGGAGTCCACTAAGGAATATCATTTGTGTCTGCTTCTGAACTAGATGATCAATCAATTTGTACGATGACTTCTTTGCTATATCTCCTTCAAATATTTCTTCATCAAGCACTCATGTTTTTTTTTTTTCACTTTTTTTCTCTAGCTGGCTGTATTGCCCAGAAAATGGGTCTCCCAATTCAACTTATTACTGTGGTGAACAGCAATGACATCATTCATAGGACTGTTCAACATGGAGATTTCTCACTGGCAGAGAGCGTGAAGGCTACGTTAGCATCAGCCATGGATATCCAAGTACGTAGTGAACTGGCCAAAATGCAGCAATAGAAAATATTACTGTTTGTTTTTTTAATCTTGTACTCTGTTCTACCTGTAAAATTCTGCCACTCAATGATGCATTAGGAAGTGTGACTCATATTGACCATTTATGCTACAGACTGCTGGGCTGAGCTAAATCAAACACCTTCTCCCTCACTTTTCAGGGCTTGACTTTCTGATCTTCATTGTTGAGTGCTGGGTTTCCAGGGATTCATTCTGTGCAAGCTTAGTGAGACAGGGACATTTCCACAACATGTGACAACTAGAGACCTAAAAATGCCATCATGTCTCAAGGGTTTTGTTGATGCTTTTGAAAAGCTCCACAAAGAGCAAGAGGAGAGACCAGGAAGGAGGTAGAGAAGTCCAGAATAAATGCCTCCTTCATGGCTGCCTGCAGCTTGCTCAGAGCAAAACAAGTCCCAGCAGGCGGGGAAAGGCCTTGGAAAAAAAAGTCATGGAGGTACAGAAACAAAACACCTGGAAGCACATACCTCCCCTTTCATTCCCACCCAATCCCAGGGATTGGATGTGCTTCCAAACAAGTTTTCAAAGTGGGAAACCCTTGGTGTTGTACCTCTGTGGCCTTAAGCTACCTGGATTTTCCAAAAGCTGTTCAAGCACACTGGGAGGACCTGGGAGTCTGGAGGGACTGCCTTGCTTCGCAGTCACTAAGTCCCTATGCCACTGTCACCAGGCTGTGCTCTGCAGCTTGGCTTTCCTCCTGAGCCAGGAGCTTGTGGGGCTTCTCAGAGCTCCAAGGGTAATTGGGCTCCTCTCTCAGTCCACCTCCCTTCAGTAGCACTGGTCAGCAAGTGCCAGACTTTGGGATCTTGGGAGCAGAGAGTTAAGTGAGGAGATTTCCTGAGATTCCTGAGGAGCTAGATGAGTGACTCCCTCTGCACATCCCCCTCCATGGCTGCACGGGATGTCATTTTTCAGCTCACATCTGAACCATCCATGCAAATATTTCCATAACTAAGGAGAGCATTTGTTCTGGAGGGGAGTTCAGGGGGTCTCTGGTTGGGACTTGTTTAAAGCAGGTTCAGCCTTGAGGTCAAGTGGGATTGCTCAGGGCTTTGTCCATTTGGGTGTTGGAAACCTTCAAAGATGGAGAGTGCACAGCCTCTTTAGGTTGCTGCTTCTGCAGAATAAGGTAAAGCAGAGAAAACTTTCCTGTTAGATGCTGCCTGAAGAGTTGAAGGTGAAGCAGAAAGTCTGGTGTGGATGAACCTTGTAAGGAGCAATCCTAGGACAATCCCAGCAGATGCTGTGTCTTTGCAGCCAAGTTCTCTGTTTCTGAGGTCAGAAAGAACCACACAGCTCATATCCACACTCCAAAACTTTGTCCCCAGCATGACCTGCCTCCAAACTGGACCCTGACATTCTGCTGGAGAGCTCTGATAGGTGGGACAGAAGCAAAAGCCTTACTTAGATGGTAGGGCTGGTACTTGAACATGGCCTAGACCCAGTTCAACTTACTAATGTCAACATAGTGTTCTGTAATGGAAACCATAAGGCTGGTGGGAATGGAAGGTGAAGGGGAAATGTGGGAAGAATGTGGGAAGGATGTGGGAACAGCAGAAAGAAGGACAGGGAAAGGGTGTCAGGAGCAGTGTTGGAGGCACCTCCAGGAGCAGGTCATGGAAGTCCAGGCACGCTGACCTGCCTAAAACAGGGGACAGCCTAGAGCAAAGGCCAGGCTACACCCAGACTAGACTGAAGATTAGAGGCTGGAGGCTCTGGGAGACGATGGTGGGAAGATGAAGAACAGAACTGGGGCCATAAGACACCCAGATAAGGACACAAAAGGCTGAGTAAGTCCTGATGACTTGACAAGGTAGGACAGGGTTGAGTGACAAAAGGTCACAGGCACTGTCAGCTGCTAAAAGTAATGAACTTTATCCAAACCCAGCACTTGAACCCAGGAGGTGAGATGAGGACTGTATGTTGGTGCCCCTTGTCCTGTCTGTCCCTACAAGATACCTCAGCCAAACCATCTGGATGAATATTTCTTGGTGCTTGTAAATATGCAGGAATGAGGCAGGGCAGAGAAATTGGTTTGGGACCCTCCTGTATGGTCTTGCACAGAGTTCTACTGCAGTGTTGCAATGCTGATTGCTACACAGCCATGTAGGCCAGTGGGGCCCTATATGTGCCCTGAAATTCATGGAGATTATCAGCCAGCCCTGCAGCGAGCTGGGTGTCTCATTAAGTCACGCAGGAGCTGGATGACTCAGAGCAGCATCTGCAACACTGAGTAAACAGCTGGATATTTCTGGTTCTCCAATATAAAGTGTGTTATTAGCCTGGGCTCCTCACAGTGATGGTACAGATGTGGTCATGCTGTTGATTCATCAGTCATCCCTTCATTTTCTGTTTTAATCTGATGGTCACTGTCAGACTGCTCTGACAGGTCAGAGGTTCAAAAGACATTGTGTTCCCAAAGACTTGTCTTGGGAGGTAGGTGAGCAAAGGGAAGACAAAAAGCCCACCCTGGTTTCCACCCTACAGGGGTAGGACCTCAGCCCTAATGACACATCAGAGAATCCACAGGGATGCTTTTCCCCCTCTTTGAATTTCCTCACCTATTGCCTTGTTATCCCAGGAGCCTTACAATGTGGAGAGGATCCTCTGGCTGCTCTCAGGCTCTGACAGCTGCCTGATAAAAACTCTGATGGAGCAATTCAACATCGCAAAAAGGCTGAAGCTGCCAGAGGATTTGCACAGAAAGGTCAGTTCCTCACCCACACAACACTGTGGCTGTGTGTGTGTATAAGGAGATTATTGCTACCAGATATTCCCAATTCATTTTCAGAATAAAAAAAATCATAGTGGAGAGTATGCAACCAAAAATTTAAGCGTGAGGCCAGAACAGAAGTTTTATATCAATGTGTGTGCATGGAGATATTAAAAAAACCCTTTTTATTTTCTTTTGTTTTTAGGAATGCTCTTCTTCATGAAACTAACTTTAAAATTGCCTGCAGTTATTTAGGTAGCATATGAAATTGGTCCATCCCTGGCCATGCACTGAGGCATTGTGCAGTGGGTGCTGGCACAAATTGGGTATTTGGGAGTGGGTCTGCCGAGTTTGGTGCAATTCAGCCTTGCTGTTGTAGCAAAGGGGAGCACAAACACAAAGCAGAGAGAGATACAAGAGAAAACCAAAGATGTGAGTTGTGAGATGGCCAGGTGCAAAATCCTGCCTTTTCCTGTCTATTTCTGATGTGCTCTCCCTCACAGAGCAGCCCTTGCCCTGTTTGTGCTGCAGAAAGATAAATACTAAACAATTTTATTATTAAAAGCAAGAGGAGCTGTTACACTGAGGTGGAATTTACAAGTCCTCAGAAACTCCCCTCAGAGCATGGAAATATCAGTGCAGACACAGGGAGCTGAGTCGTGGCTCCTGCCTACCCACACTGGCAGCACCTGTGGATGGAAGCCCTTTGCCCACACTCCATCTTTGTGTTTTTTTCCAGCAGTGTTTCATCCCCTAGCTGCAGCAGCAACCCCTTTTCCTTCAGTCTCTGGGGAAACCCATCCTCCAGCCTCCCTGTTTCCACCTGCTTTGCTGAGTGCCTGTGGCACAAACCCAGCTGGGAACACGTTGGATGGTGCCCTGTGCAAACCTCCCTGTTTCCCCACAGCTCTCCGAGACCCTGGGATCATGCTCAGCTTCTGACCAGGACATTGTGGGCGCCATGCGGCGCTGCTGGGAGGAGAACCAGTACCTGCTGTGCCCCCACTCTGCCGTGGCTGCTCACTACCACTACTCACAGCCACACAGGTAGGGAGAGCCATGGTCAGGAGTTAGGGACTGGAGCATCACTATCCCCTTGCTCCTGCAGCATCTCCAGCTCCCAGCTCACACCATAAGTTTTCTTTCCTTGTCTTTCCAGCATCCCCCGGTGTTGCTTGGCTCCAGCCTCTGCAGCCAAATTTCAGAATGCCGTTCTCCAAGCTGGCCTGGTTCCCCAGATCCCCTCTGAAATCACTGCCCTGATGGCAATGGAGAGCAGGTCCACTCCCCTGGAGCGGGGACAGGACTGGGCACAGGTGCTCCGGGGCCGGATTGAAGCTGTGGCACAGCGGTGGGAGGCACAGGCGGGTCAGTCTGCCCCCCAGGGCAGGGGGGGATCACTGGGCAGGTAGTCACACAAACCTGACTACTGGGCACAGCTGGACAATGCCTCCCAGGGCTCATTCTCCACTCCCAGAAAAGCCCTGTCTTATGCTGGGAGTCTCCATGCAATGGTTTATTAGCAAGAATGCACCTTCCTGTTGATTTACATGGACTATCTCATAACATTTTCAGTAAAGAGTGGAATTATATGGACAATTTCATAACATTTTCAGTAAAGAGCACTGCAATTATATCCCCTTTTTCCTAATAAATCATAAAAACTGATTGAAACTATTGAGTAAACCTGTCTGTTCCATCGTTGCTGACTGTTACAGAAAGCTGCCTTAGCATTACCCACAGCTGCCTGCTTCTTGAGCATTATCCAGTGATTCTGGCTCTGTGCTGGGATGTTCAGCCCAACAATCCCAATAGCACCCAAGATGCTCATAGGAAACACATGCAAGAGTGGAGCCACTTCACCCATCCCTGTAATTTAAGGAGTGCCAGGGATCGTTCCCAGGCATTGAAACTTGCTCTGTGGTAGTGTTGAATAGCAGATGTTTTCTCAGGACAAGCTTATCTTAAAGAGCTACTTTCCAGTGCTGTATCTCTCAGCTTTTGGTCCTAGTCCTGCTTCAGACTCTTCCCAGGCAACTTCCACTGTAACAAGTAGGAAATGGGAAATTCCCTTTATCTTCTGCCTGAAACTTCAGGTCTTTCAATACCGCATTCTCATCATATACATATAAATATATAAATACCTTGTGTGGGAGCTGCCTCCACAAGTCATGCATCTGGCAGGAATCTCTTGTGCCTAAAAAAGGGGGAAGAAAAATAGGAATAATTATACCGGGGGGGAAAAATCCCCCTTTGCCATCAAAAAAAATTCCCCCTTTGACATCAAAGGAAGTCTTGTAATGGGAAGATTAATTTGAAGGTTTAGTGGCATTTAACGGGGTAAAAGTAAATTCTGTGAAGTGATTCAGCTTGGGATGTTGCAGAACATGCGGGAAGAGTGGGAAGCTTGGCCTAGGCTGCAAGCTGCCTTGCTGGCACCCAGGCAGCCTTTTCCTTGGCTCCCTCTGGCACAGTTGGCCCTGTACTACCTCTTTCCACCCCACCGAAACCCTGCAGGAGAGGAGGGACCTGTGCCTCCTCCAGGGTGGGAGCTGAGGCTGCCCCATCCCAATTAACAGGGATGAGGGAAACAGCTTAACTGAGAATGATGTAAAAACCACAGCACTTGGATGTTTTTTATGCTAACAGCTTTACTTGAATAGATTGAGCAGCTGGGAGGTGGGGTCCAGGAATGATGTTTCATGAAGCCATCATTCACCCTTCTTTAGGAGCCAAACCAGCAAAATAACTCTTATTCCAGCTTCATCCTCACAAATCACCCTTCCCCAAAGGATGGCTTTTCACTGGGGGTGGTGTAGCATGTCTCTGGATGTCTCTTCCCAATCCCATTTGACCCCCATGATCAGCTTCCCCTTTCATTGATGCAGATGTTAAGTTCATTTGGCTCCACTAGCCTTAACAGCTGCCTCCCCAAATCTTGTGGTTCTCAGCCAGGGACGGCTGCCCAGTTGCAATTTAGCCCTTAATCATAGCTTAAGACACCCTTCGTGAGGGGAGAGGCCAGATTGCACCCAGTTCTGCACCCAAGTGAGAGGTTGCAAACCTGGCTGGCAAGACCCCAACTCCTCACTGGGGAACACTGTGAAGGATGGGGTGACTGGGGCTGGACTTGCAGCCCGCCAAAATCCTGGTGTGTTTTGCAAGCAGAAAGCATGATGAATACATTCCATGCTCCCATCCCTCAAGGAGTAGGATGAGTGAAAGGTCCAGCCTCATTGCAGGGTGAAAAGGAATTTAATTCTCAACCATCCCTGAGGATTCCCTTACGGGGTGAGGATGCTACGTCTTCCCCAGCCCAAATCAGACTTTTTTTGGGGCAGGACACTATGAAACTCTCTCTGTGATCTCTGGAGCAGAAGAACAGCCGGAAAAGCTTGTTCCATGCCTGGAGCCAAGGCAGAGGGAGCACAGACAGGCTTGGCTTGCAGGGGGCTGTGCTCCCACAGAGGGCAATGCACAGCCACATGTGCCAGCCTGGTGCCTGGGATGTGGGAATGAACCTGGCCCTGTGGGCATGCTGTGTCCCACCACCTCGGGGACCATGGCATCCGTGGCCACTCTCACACCGGGAGCTCCCACTCTGTCCCCAGAACTGGAGCTTGGGGCTCTGCTTGCTCATCCTTGGGCCTCTGGCTAAGAGGGAGGGTCAGCCTGGTTTGATGGAAAGATGGAAAATGGAGGGAGGAAAGTCACACAAAAAGTGGTACCTCCTCACCCGACACTGATGGGTGGCTGCAGGCTCTGGCAGCTTCATATGTTCCCAGGGTTAATGATACTTTAGCCCTGTACCTTCCAGAGCTGATCACAAACCCAGGACAGGCTTGTCAAATAATTAATCTCATACATCAACTGCTCTTGCTTTTGTCCAGCAAAAATTCCATTCTCAGGTCCCTGACCCTAAACATGTCTGACAGTAATCCAGGAGATAGTGATGCCTACAAACTGGTGACCATACTCCATGGGGACATTGTATTCCCCCACTGAGGGACATGGCTGGGATATGTTCCCAACTCCTACCTCAAGGAGAAGGGAATGTCATGGGATGGAGATGCAGTGTGTTGAGATAGAGGAATAGGGTCATGGGCTCAGCTGGAGTTTCTGCTCAATAACTCACATGTACCAAAGCAACTTGCTGTCCTGAGCCAAACTCACTTGTAGTTGGCATGTCCAGCAAGGGATTGGGGCACTTGTCCTAGTGTGGTTTGGGATCTGCTGGGCTACATGTGGGGTCTACCCTCTAAGCCACTTGCCTCTGTGCTCCATGGGGACTTCATCCATCAGCAGAGCCATGCTGTGGTTCAACACTCCAATCATTAATAGTGCCATTAAGAGATTTATTCACTAAAGGGGGACATGGGATGACTGGCTGACTGCTGCTCTGGCTGAGATAAAATTGAGAGGAATATAAAATCCCAAAGGAGCTGTGGGTGAGGATGTTCTTTCCCATGAGCAGAGCAGTCCAGCCTTCCCCTGTGCTTTGTCACAATGTCCATCCTATCTTCTAGCTCATGGCCACCCAAGGAATTGATCTTTGGGCAATTACTCCACTGACTGGGCTGTCACGTCCTTCTACTCCACTTATGAGCTGGGAGGAGCCCAGCGTGGTGAATTATAAGCCAATGCTTTAAAACAGTGTTCTGAAGGTTTGGGAGCTGAATTATTATTTATAATGCCCTGGGGGCCCCATGTAATTTATGGACAGGTATGAAGACAAGTAGGCGCTCAGACATGGGGATGAGCCCGGTGTAAATGCTGGGATAGAAAGATAGATAGATGGATGGATGAAGATAAACTTCTTGGCCAAGAGAGCTGGAGGTTGAACAACTGGAGATGGATAAGGCTGCTCTTAGACATCTCTGCTCTCCTAGGGTGATACCTACTATCCTTCTACCCTCACTCTGCAAAATGTCATCTCAAACGTGGTGAAAATCATTTGTTTACTCTTCTTTTTTTGGTTTATCCTAAGAGCAAGGAAAGAAAAGTAAAAAGGAACTGCTTTGTTGTTGCAATTTGCTGCTAGGCATTCCTATGTGTGCTAATGATAAGTATTAATTAAATAGCTTTCTGTTGTCTTTTAAATGCAGTTCTTTCAGGCTGTAATTAAAAACAGACACCCAGCCCTTTCTGTCTGCATAGAAAGAGGCAGGTAGGCCTCTGGAGCTCGGCACTTCTTTCCTTGTAACAGGAGAGAAGTGGAAAATGAGGCAAAACCAGTTTCCATTGAAAACTCACCACCCTGTGCATGTCCTTCACAGGGAAGGCAACCAGCTCAAGGAAATTAAAGGAATGTGACTTCCAAGATCCCAGCCCTGCAATCAAAGTAAGTTTATTTGCCCTTAAGATCTTTCAGCTTCATACATTTTAAAGGCAGAGGAGATCACTATGTTTGATCTCTGGGCTACATAGGCTGAACATCCCTCTGATGCATTCATCATGCCCAGAAGAAACTTGTTGCCTTATGAACATTTTGATCTGAGTAGCTGGAGATAGGATTCTATCCCTCTCACTTTTTTTTTTCCCTTTCCCCAGTTTTTTTCACTCTTGCTGTGAAAAACCAGGCACTGCTGTAAATCCCCATCCCTGTGCTGCTCCTCTGGTCACTATTAATCTCCCAACTCAGGGTGGGCTGCTCAGGGAAACTGGAGCTCACACCAGTCCTGCTGCTGTCTCCGTTTCCCAGCTTAAAATAGACTCAAGTCCTCTAGAAATACAAATAAAATGTCAGATGCTCACATGATGAAAAGCAACTACCAAATAAAATTTCCCATTTGCCCACAACACTGAATGACACTTAAGCCCTTAAAGGCAACTGGGCTTCACTTATCTAAAATGCTGCTGCTAATCAATAAATACATGGAAAAACAATGTTTGTCTGCTGTGCAGCTTATGAAAGCGCTGGAGAAAGATGCAGCTCACTCGGAGGATGCCTTGGTCAGAGATGGCCCATGAGAGAAAAGTTTCTGTGTTCAACAGCTGCATATACTTTTTTTTTTTTTTTGGTAAATGGAAACATTTAATTATACATTTGAGTAATTTACAACCTGAGATGTGTAGAATTTGTGTAATAAATATACAGAGAATGTAAGACACACACATTGCCTGTGCGGGGGTCCTGGATTTTGGGCAGTGCAGCACTTTGGTCACCCAGGGTGATGCTCCTCTGCCTTGATAACTCCTCACCCAGTTCATAAAACAGACACAGCCCTTTTGGGGTCCTATCAACCCACGACTGGATTTTCTATGGGTTTTTCTGTCTCTCTCAGCTCCTTGGCTGTGTCTGTCTTGTGATTTTGATGCAGCTGGACGGGTATCCACAGGGAGCTGGGAACACAAGAAGAGGTCTGGGACACTCTGCAGGCTCCTTCCCTGGTGAGGGGAGCACGGGGCTGGGAGCATCTTTGGGGCTGTTGGTGGCAGCAGCAACAGAAGTGGCTCAGAAGGGAAGGTTTTTCTCAATTATTTGCATTTTAGAAATGAGGAAGGGGGAGAAATGGGATGGAAAAAGCAGAAAAAATGAAGAGAAAGTAAGCATTCAGAAATTAAATACTTAATTAAAAA